AGCTGGGAGAAAGGGACAACTGAGCTTGCTAGACTGGTTTGGTTCAGGTGGGGCCCATTTGGGTTGGTTCAGTTTGGGGTATGGTTTGTGGGCTTCCCCGAACCACCCTTTTTAGGTTCATGCCCATCCCTACTCCACAGAAGTCCAGTTCTGTCTACAGTAAGTGATTGAAGAGGTGAAGGGGTCCAATGGAGGGAAAGGCAGAGATAATCACAGTAGTCTCTTGTATGACAATGGACCTTTTTGTAAGTCTGTTATTGCAAAGGCTGAAAATGCAGTTGGCACTGGACTTAAAGAGCCCCTTTTTCTGCCTGAGGGGAGAGGATATCAGAAAGCCCAGATCTGGCACTCTCCATTCAACAGCCTTTTGGTGAATACAGGCTACCGATGGACTTACTAGGCAGCCATGACCACAGAGTTTCCAGTTCATGGACCACTGCTCCATATGATGGGTGGTGGAAGAAATATGGCTATTGTTTATTTGCACAATTCTGGCAGCCCAAAGAAATGAGACACACTTGAATACATGAAGCTGCCTTATAACGAATCAGACCCTTGGTCCATCAAAGTCACTGTTGGTGAAGACTGGAAGTGGCCCTCCAGGGTCTCATGCAAAGGTCTTTCACACCACCTACTACCTGTTCCTTTCAATTGGTGACATGAAATCTTCTGCATGCCAAGCAGATGATATGCTGATCCATAACCCCATGGTGTAACAACAGCAACTGCAGCAACCATGAACCTATTTCCAGGGCAACGTACTGGTTCATACCATCCATACTCCCTTGCAATCCTATTTAGATCAGGTATCAACCAGGGCCATCTTTATTCTGAGCAGGCAGCTATATGAGCCGGCCCAAGGGCACCACAGTTATTCATATTAGCCAATCATCTCAATTAATTGTGACTCTTGCAAGTAGCTCAGCAGCAATATAACCTACAGATATCTGAATTTCTCCTTATCCAAACAGCACAGATGTTTTGTAGGCCACAGGGACAGGAAGCTGTTTTCTCAGTTCCTGTTGCCCTTACAGTACGGCAGATGAGGCATGTTCATAGATTCCTGCTTCCATTTGGATTCAATATTTGAAAACAAGGCACAGAGACCAGCGTCCGAAAAACCATTGGTGGGAAGATTTCCTCCCACCTCGCGAACCCCAAAGAAACAGGCACACATCCTCATTTAACAACTAATTGATTTATTTAACAATACAAATTCTTTCCGCTGCTCGGTGTAAGCAGAGAAAAGTTGAGGAACAAAAAAAATTTAACTTTTTAAGTTTAGATGTTTACACAAAAAAACCCCAATCTCTTACTTCAGTAAATATAAAATTTACAGACAAAAAAAAAAAACTACATTAAAAAGAACAAGGTTGTGACGAACCAATGACAGGAAGGGGAATTCATAATCAATCAAAACTTTAGTAAAGGTGGTAATGGGGGGGCAGTACTGAGAAGAAGCATCCCGCTTATATACCAAGGTTTCTGAAATTTCGAGGTGCAATACGAAACTAAGTACATTAAAAACGAGAATAAGAGCTTTAATTACACTATATATCTTGTGATATAAATATTTGAAAGCTTTTGTAGGTCACATATTTAATATGTGAAATATACATTTTTGCCCCTTAGTGTAAATTTAGAGGAGTGTTCAAGTACATGCAAAAGACTGCACACATTTTATGGCCTAGGGTAACCAGTAAGGTCTTTGAAGTCTGCCTCTGCTATCAAATAACCTGGAAGTTGTTGTTTCTCAGTTCCTATATATAGAAAGGCAAATCTATAAAGTATAAATACAGCCTAACGTCTGCTCATTTCAAGAGATCCAGCAGGACGCACTGGTATTAACAACATTAATGTCACCCGCTGACATTAATGGTGGCACAGTAGCCTTGCCCCACAGACGGCACTTCTGCTTTTCGAGGTACCCCATATTCCTTCATTACAAAACCAGATGTAGGCCACCTTCTCACAAATGTGGTAAACAGAAGTCTGGGCTGCACCACTTCAGATGGGCTGCGAGTGTTCACATAATGAACAATCACTGAAAAACATTTCTACACAATGAAAACAGGTCAGGGGAAGTCTAGAACACTTCTGCCTGATCTCCCGTTCTCTGTGGAGGGGTACTGTTTTTGTACAGAGGAGCATTCGGTCACAGGAGGCCCCCCCTTCCTCTGCAGCCCGATGCAACCCACCTACAACTTTCCTACCTCAGTGAGAATTTGTAGTGAGAAACGAGGTATACCAGACAGGACCCATATTTTCATTGGGGTGGGTCCTACCCCTGTCCTAGCACTCCGCTCACCGAACTTTGAAGCCTTTCTCCAGCCTAAGGGTCTTTCTCCGATTTAACTGGTTGTTTTTTTAAATTTATCATTCAATTTATAGGCTGCCCTCCCCGCCAAGCGGGCTCTGGGCGGCTAACAATGGAGGAAGAACTGCTTAAGTTGGAGGAAGACTTCAAACTCTGCTCACTAGAATGGTTGGATTGGGTAGGATCCACACCAGTGACATCTATGTCAAAGTCTAAAATAGAACCTGAGCAGTTAACAAACCGATTTGAAATTACAAGTGAAAATGGCTTTAGGCTTCAAGATAAAATTGATACCTATCTCTAAGAATAGGTAGGTATAAAGGTCAACTAACATTGCTCTAGATGTCATATTCTGGAGACCACAGAACTTCCAGACAGTAACCTAAGATATTTTGAAGCCTCTCTATTCTGACAATACTTGATATTAAAAAATACTGAAATCCAGCTATCAATAAATTTTAAAGCATCAAACTGTTTGACAGTAGTGCTTGAAAATGTCCAAAAATGCACAGCAGCTTTGGTGGGTTAGGACCAAATAGTCAGTACATTAGTTATAAGAAAACAACTAGTTATGAACTTTGTCACCGTTACAGTAATAAGGAACAGCAAAGAATTTGTTACAACAGATCAAGTATGCATGCCTGTGTCTCAGGCCCTATTCATACAGTACTTTGTCGGGTGACTAATCTTGCATGGGTAATACATGGACGATCTGACCATAACAGTTGATCCCACAGATAAGCTACATGTCAGTGGCAAGTGACCTACATGGAGGGAGAATGCTTGTATGGAAAATTATCTATATGATCAAAATTTTCATATCAACCTATGTGATATTTGAGTCAATCATGAGGACGAGGGGCTTTTGGAAGGGGCAAACATGCCACAAAAAGTAAAATACAATGGACCTTTAGTTCCAGACAAAAGTACAATACGGTGGGAAAACTTTGTGCACAATCCCCAATGAAATTCATGGGAACGGTATGAGTCTTTGCTTGGATTGCCAGTTCTGGGTTGGGAAATCCCAGGAGATTTTTTTTGGGGGGTGGAGCCTGAGGAGGGTGGGGTTTGGCGAGAGGAGGGACTTTGATGGGCCATAATGCCACAGAGTCCACCTTCCAAAGCGGCCGTTTTCTCCAAGTGAACTGATCTCCGTTGCCTGGAGATCAGTTGTCATCCCAAAGCAATCTCCAGCCACCCCCTGGAGGCTGGCAACTAGTCTTTGTGGAGACTCCATTAATTCCCCTGCGGCTGGCCCAGGAGACTGTCCCACGGAATTGTGCTCAAAATTACTAGTCACTTGTGTCTGTTTCACTTCTAAAAAGTGACTTTTGCTCCGATGTTTTCTTCAAGACAACAGTTCCAGATTAACAGGAGGCTACTTATTCCACTTGGAGATAACCTGGTAAATAGAGCATGCAACCATGCTGCTTTGGAAGACTGTTTAACGCGATGAGACGGGTTGTGAATTTAAACCTCAGTCTAAAGTACTCAACTGCCCGCAATCTGATACAAGTTAACAACACGTTGGCAAAATCCATAGCGACTTTTATTGAGACATAAAGGAGACTGCAGGTTGGAGGCCTTATGTTTCGTCATGCAAAAACTAACATAGGGTAAGATTATTTTTTTTAAATCCTATTTAAATGAGACTTGTCATGAAGTCAAATGGGATTCGTCCTGACCTTCCCCCCCCTGGCAGCCGTATGGGTTTATCAACATTTGGGGGTCTACAGATGGTTAATCACTAAGTGTGAACTGGTTGTCTACCTTGTCCTTCCAAAAGGGGAGGAGACTCTTACCACTCGCTTCTATTTTCCTGGATTTCTGATCAGGCGCAAAACCATGGTAAGCCTCTCCCAACCATTTGGAAAACGACAGAAGATGGAGTTGCTTAGATGCGTGTCTCGGCGAAGGGTCATCGGGATCCACCCTTTGCGCCAAGCTAATGATTAAAACTCAATCTCTCCTCAGCAGTTCATCTTTCAAGCAAAACAGAGAGGCGACATCCTGCCCCCCCATTGCACTGAGGTGGGCCACAAAGATGCACACAATCTACAGGTCTCATGCTCAGGTCCTTCTTTCTTGATACTAAGAGGGTTTTTCTTTTTCTTTTTGTGGGCATCTGTATATAAACAGCTCTATCCATATCTAACCTATGACCGTATGCACCGATTTTCATTTCAAATATGAAAACAGAAAGAAGCTATTCTTTGGGGAAGGTGTTTATTGTGTTTGAAATTATACACTGGATGCTCTCTGAGCTACAAGGTGGTGGCAGTGGGGGGGCGGGCGGGGGGGGGGAAATAAAAGGAAACCCTTTCATTACAAACTGACAAAGGTAAAAGTTTAAAACAGTTTTCACAACAGCATGTACCACATATCGGAAATAGATCTGGGCTTAATACAAATGACGTAATTTTCCTAGTAATCTACAGCTACCTTTAATAACTTCATACAGATAATGAATTAGGTTAAAATGCACTATAATATTTGGTTGACTTCAGGAACGGTATCCTTAGTTACATCACAAAATACATTTTGATATCCCAAAGAAGCAAGACTTGCAAGTAGGCATTTTAAACATAACTAATCTACAGCTACAAAGTTCTACTCTTGATAGCATTTACCTTTTTCGGGGGGTCGGGGAGTGGAGGCGGG